TAGAAATGTTTGAAAAGAACTTTGCTGTGCACTTCATATAGAACAAAGGCATTATGTCACAAAAAGCCACGCAGCAAACTTGCTGTGTGTTGCCACCAGTCTTACTGTGGAGTGGGCCTTTGAGTAAAGGAAAGAAAGGGGCTAGCCCAGTGTGGGTGGCTAGGTGATGGCATGGCGACCGACGTGCTAGGGCAGCACATTTGGAGGATGTCAGGTTTTCTGGACTGGAGAGGTGCTGTATGTGAAAATGATGGTGAAGCAATCTTTAGGCTTGTTCAAAAGGGCTCCTTCTGTGGGCAAAATGAGCCATAGGGAGAGAAGCAGTAGGCATCTGGTTCTTCAAAACGACAGGAGCAAGAGGCTGTCCGGAAAGCTACATACTGATCACACAGGGGACCCTAGAGACTGTTCAGAGTGCCCCAGGGGTATCTGATCAGAGAAAACATTGGCTAGAAGCCTCTTGCAGGCTCAGAACCCGAGGCCATCAGCCGAGAAGCCAGGTGCGTAGACACTTGCTTCTCCTCCTTGTTCCTCCCTCTGCTCCTTCTGACCATTCTTGGGAGGCCAGCAGCGAATCCATGTAGACAGACAGGGCAGGCAGGCAGCACAGGAACCGTTTTTTTGGCCTGCTGACTTGCAGCAGGCCCTGCCATGGGTCCCGGGTCCCGGGTGAAGGTCCAGTGGGTGGAGATTGGAATGCACTCTGTCATCAGAAACTGCATTTCACTTTTGGAGATGAGACTATTTTGTGACAAAAGGACTCCAGCACTCTGTGTTCCTTGAGAGTAACCACAAAAGGAGGACTCCAGGAACTGACTTTATGGTGATATTTTATTTGTGCTGAAATGTGATTTTATTTGTATGTTAATAAAGTTGCCTGGAGATCAGAGCTAAGAGCAAGCCATTTAGCAGAAGTCCGGCGGTGGTGGCGCACGCCCTTAATCCCGATCACATGGCAGGCAGAATCTCTGTGTGTTCAAGCTCTGTGTGTTCGAGGACACAGCCAGCATGGTGACACACGCCTTTAATCTCAGTACCAACCATAGAGACCTGGAGATCTGTATAGACAGGCAGTGATGAGGAAGTCATGTGGTTTGGTTTACAGCCAATGAGAAGGTAGAACAGAAAGGCAATAAAAAAGACAGGACACAGGAAGAAGGGCTCTCTCTCAGGGGAAGCGACGGCAGTGAGTAGTAAGATAAGGTGATCTTAGCTCTTGGCTACTGCTCGATCTCTGGGCTTTTAACTCTTTATTTGGCTCTGTGTTTCTTATTTAATAAGACCGTTTAGAATTACATCTACATTTGGCACCCACGTGGCAAGAATTCATTAAAAACCATTGGTGGTTACAGGCCTGGCTCAGTCTGCTTGGCCCCACTCGGCCAGAGTTTACAGGCCCTAGGCCTGGCCGGAGCTACTGGTCAGGCTGCATGTGGTCAGAGCTGCACTTGACTGTAGCTGCAGCTGAAGCTGCTTGCGGCTGAATCACCAACTCACGTGGTCGGAGCTTAAGGAAGCCGCAGCTCAGGCTCGAATCGGCTCAAGCGGGAGTACATGGCTGGATTTCAGCTTTTAGCCAGAACGTGTGGCTACGCTTCCTTTTCTTTCTTTCTTTCTTTCTTTCTTTCTTTCTTTCTTTCTTTCTTTCTTTCTTTCTTTCTTTCTTTCTTTCTTTCTTTCTCTCTCTCTCTCTCTCTCTCTCTCTCTCTCTCTCTCTTTCTTTCTTTCTCTTTCTCTCTCTCTCTCTTTGGATTCCCATCTTGGATGCTAGGTAGCTGTTTTGAAATTCCTTTGGATTTCTATTGTCTATGCAGACTTGGTAAGTCAATTAAGATATCAGATAATTTAAAAGGAAAAACTACTTAAAAGAGAAAATTTTTTCCACATTAAAAAAAAAATGGGTATTATCTGTACAATAGAAGAAACTTGTCTTTGTTTGATAAAACTTTAGGCAGTCTGAAAATGGAACAATTATATGAGAAGATTAATGTTGAGGGGATGTACATTACATCAATTATGCATATTATTACTTATCCTTATTTTACAATTTAAAAAGATAGTCAATTTAAGTGTCAGAATAAAAGCTTTAGAAAAACCTGTTAAAATGAATTATAGAGAAATTCAGACTCAGAAGAATTTAAGGGTGAAATTATCTCAGGATTGGATTATAAGGTTGCAGAAAGAAAGCCTGTTTTCAAACATTCAAACTTAATTTATCTTGTAACCATACAGCAGTTACCTGGTCAAGTGAATGTACAAAATAATTGGACTCCAATTGAAATGTTAGATTTAAGAAGGTTTAAGGAGGCAATAGTATCTTATGGCATGCAATCCCCATTTGTAAAGCAAATGTTAAACTCCTGGTCAGCTTGTGATAAGATTATTCCTCGGGACTGGAAAGAGCTGGTAAATGCTGTCCTAGAACCCGGGGCACAGCTGCAGTGGTGCATGTGGTTCAGAGATGAGGCTAAAACCATAGAGAGTCAGTGGAGGGCTAGAGGTGTGGAAATGTCCCAGGATCAGCTTCTTGGAGAAGGCCAATATGCTGAAATACAAAGACAATGTTTATATGATAACCAAACCCTAATTTTATGTTGAATGGCAGCCATGAATGCACGGGATAGAATTGAGGAAGTAGGAAAGAAAACTGAGTCATTCACAAAAGTTATATAGGGCCCAAAAGAATCCTTCACAGATTTCTTACAAAGATTGACTTCAGCAGTAAATAGATTGGTCCCGAATTCAGAAGCTAGCCATGTGGCTGAGTTTACAGCCAATGAGAAGGTAGAACAGAAAGGCAATAAAAAAGACAGGACACAGGAAGAAGGTCTCTCTCTCAGGGGAAGGACAGCAGCAAGTGGTAAGATAAGGAGGTCTTAATTCTTGGCTACTGCTTGATCTCTGGGCTTTTAACTCTTTTTTTGGCTCTGTTTCTTATTTAATAAGACGGTTTAGAATTACATCTACATGACTTTCCACAGGGATTATATAAAACTATCACTCAACGGATTATTGTGAAATCAAAATTACGGTTCCTCTCTGATTAAGTCCAACATTAACTTTTGTCAAATTCAATCATACGCTTTCATTAGTTCTCAGCTTAAATCCTCCAACTGTGTATGAATTTAGGAACACATCATTGTAAAGTTCACCTATGCAGAAAAAAAAAAAAACCCAAAACAAAACAAAATAAAACAACAAAAAAACCTCATTACAAAGTTTACCTATGCAGGAAAACAAAAACAAAAACAAAAAAAAACACAAAAAATCTCATTGCAAAGTTCACCCATGCAGGACCCCCTCCACCAAAAACAAAACAAAACAAAAACAGCAAAAAACCGCATTGCAGAGTTTATCTATGCAGGAAAACAAAACAAAACAAAAAAGACCTCAGTGAGAGAATAGGAAAGGGTCTTCCAGAGAGAAAACACTGAGTGTGGAGAGTCACTAACACAATGTGTTGCAAGAGTTCCCAGATGGATCATGAACTTGTGTGTGTAGCTCAGGAATAGACAGTGTACAGAGAGCTAAGCACGTAATAGCATGAAGCAGGAGCCTGACACGGAGTGCCAAGGCAAGTCATTAGCTGTTTAAAAAACAACCCAAGTTTGAATCTTCTATTAAAAAATTCAAATGAATGAATGAAACTAGACTCTAGAATAAAAATTCAAGCCAGGTGAATGGGCTTTTCCTCTTTGTTTTTAGATCAAGTAAGGAAAAGCAGTGATCTGAGACACAAAGGCCCAGGGTGTTGAGATAGAACTTCACTGAGGTATCCTTGTGCGAAATCCTGCTGAAATGAGTTTCTTGCTCATAGGGCGGACTTTGAATCTAGGCTTACTGAAATAGCAATCTGTGTCTGAAAAACGTTAAAAAATTCTTAAATGCACACAGAAGATATTAAAAAACCTGAAGGCAGATGAGAAGTAAATAGAACCAATAACCAAGAGTTGACTTTCTTTCTTTCTTTCTTTCTTTCTTTCTTTCTTTCTTTCTTTCTTTCTTTCTTTCTTTCTTTCTTTCTCTCTCTCTCTCTCTCTCTCTCTCTCTCTCTCTCTCTCTCTCTCTCTCTCTCTTCCTTTCTTTTTTGACGCAGTGTGTGTCAGTTTGAACAATGGAGTCATCTGGAAGAGGGAACACACTGGAGGAATTGTCTCTATCAGATTGGTCAGTGAGCGTGTCTGTGGGGGCATTTCCTCAATTTCTAATTGCTGTAGGGAGGGGTCAGACCAGGTGCCAGTCTTAGGCAGGTAGGGCCAGGGCATAGAAGAAAGGTAGCTAAACAAGCCTGCGGAGCAAGCTAGTAAGCGAGGCTTCTGCCCAGTCTCTGCTTCAGTTTTTGTTCCAGGTTCCTGCCTTGGGTCCTTGCTTTGATGTCCCTCAATGATGGGCTGTGACATGGAAGTGTAGGACAAGCCTGTTCTACCCTCAAGTTGCTTTTGGTCGGTGATTTATTACAGTAAGATAAAATTGACTAGGAAGCAAGGTCTCCACATATTACAGCCCAGGCTGGTATGGAACCTGTGATCCTCATGTTTGAGACCTTGTGAATGTTGCGGTTGCAGGCCAACACCTGCTTCATCATCTGCTTTTCGATTCAAGTTATTTGGTAAGATCATTGCATGGTCTTAAATTTAATTGTCAGAGACCAAACATGGACCATGGAAAAGTACAAGCTAGGCCAGAGAACAAGCCTCTACCCTAAACCAGATGCCCCCAAAGATAAAGAACAGGTCAGGCAGGTCAGGTAGCATAGCAACAGAACAATGGGCCCTGACCAGTGATCTTACCACCTAGCAGCCTCACGACTTGCACGACTTGCACGTAGCCCTTCACCTGCACGTCCCCCTTCACCTGCACGTGCACTCCTTCCCTCCTTCCTGCCCCCTCTCATGCTATATAAGCCTTGCTGAGGAGAATAAAATTTGCAGCTTGATCAGAACACACTGTCTTGCTGTCTTCTCTCGTGTCTCCCCCATCCCTCTCATTCTCTCCCGCAGGTGGGTCGCCCCCGTTGACACCCCACTGGCCGGGGCATTTAAAGTTCGGTATTCACGCAAGGAAGAGATTTGGAGAGGAGACACGTTCGGTACAGCTGGGATTTTAAGAGCCACATCATTTGAACGTTGAACCAGAAAAATCTTACTTTCTCACCTTCAGGGGACTACAAAAATACAGCTTGGAATGGAACTGAGGAGGTGAGAAATTGTGACAAACTAGACCTTTTGTTTGTCTGCTGTCCTCAAAGCTGCCATCCGGGAAGTCCATCAAATTCAATTTGAGAATTTAGCTTAAGGGAATGGTGATTTCCACAAGCTCCTGCCAAGACTAAAAGCTGATTCCAACTGGAAGATGGATCCTCATTCTCAACTAGAGTTCTAGATGAAAATAAACAGCTCATTAAAAAATAAAATCACAGAACAAAATAAGATACCTTGAGTGAGAGCCAGCAGGAAGGGAAACCCAAGACCCCTAAAGACTTTGGATGCTACAGTGTTCAGATTAAAAAAAAATGTTAAATTTCAAAGTATAAAAGCCCAATCTGAAACTGAAGAACATGAAGTTCCCTGAGCGAACCAGACAGTTCAGAAAAAAAAAAAAAAAAAAAAAAAAGGTTGACATTTAAAACTTAATGGCAGTTTACTTCCAGTTTTGGTCAAAGTTGAGGGACAGAGACTGCCTTATACTTTCAAAAATCAAACAAAAAAATGTGTGTGGGTAGCCGGGCGGTGGTGGCGCACGCCTTTAATCCCAGCACTCGGGAGGCAGAGGCCGGCGGATCTCTGTGAGTTCGAGGCCAGCCTGGGCTACCAAGTGAGTTCCAGGAAAGGCGCAAAGCTACACAGAGAAACCCTGTCTCGAAAAACCAAAAAAAAAAAAAAAAAAAAAAAAAAAAAAAAAAAAAAAAATGTGTGTGGGTGTTTTGCCTGCATGTAAATGAGTATAACACGTGCGTGTCTGGTGTCCACGGAGACTGGCAGTTACAAATGGTTGAGAGCCATCCTGTGGGTGCTGAGAACCAAACCCTAATCCTCTGGAAGAGCAACTGGACTGCTGAGACATCTCCCTAGTCCCTTTCTTATACTTTTGCCTTAAGTAAGGAATGAGGTAAAACACACAAAGCAAATGTTGACAGGGCTTCATGGTTGGTCTGCACTTGCTGTATAGCTCAAGATGGCCTTAAGTCTGATTATCCTAACTTCCAAGTGCTGGGCTTATAGGGAAACACCATTACACTTGGTTCATAGACAGCTGGGGCTCAAATACAGGGTTTTGTGCATGCTAGCCAAGCACTCTACCAACTGAACTACATCCTCAGCTTGTGAACCATCAACTTTTAGAAGCTGGACACCACACAGGGAAGGATCCAATCTACTTGCAAGAGTAACAAGCCAAACAGGCCCTATCTGTGTTACCTCACATCCAAGGGCATTGCTAGGATACAGCTCAGGGAGAAAGGGCTCAGGCTTAGACTAGTGCTCTTACTAAGTTAAAAAGAGGGAGCGAGAGACATGAGGGAGCCAAATGGCCAGAATATGCGGGGCAGAGCCACAGCAATAGTAATGATAAGCCACATAAAGAGTATTGGAGAGCCACAAGGAGCCCTGTGGAGCTTTGTCTAGGAATTGATTGGTGTACACTTACAACTATCCAACTCCTGGAGACAGACAGTAACCTATTTCCTAGGGTTCAACAAGAAACAGACTAATTTGGTTCTATAACAAAGAGTAAAATTGTTACTGCCAACGTTCTGATGAACTGGCCATGAGGAGATTGGCAGGAAGAAATATATGTGAACCTATGGCATGCACCAGGGGAGCACAGAAAAGTGGCCTTCTAAACCCAGTAAAATCTGGAAGCCTGTGCGATACCTAGGCTGCAGAAAGGAATGAGTGTGGCTTTGCACGTGCTGCCAGTGATGCTGCAATAGCAAGTGCTGGGAGAACACAGAGAGGGGATGGATGGTGCGTGGAGACTGTCTGGTGCAGAGTTGAAGTCTCTCAGGCGATGAGAACTATCCTCTCATGGTAGAACTGTCAGAATAGGTGTCAGCCCATCAGGAGACTCTCTGAGGGATGTAGTCAGCTCCAGACTCTTCTGGGGCCCCATCTCCACTGCTTGATGAGCTTCCGGGGGGTGCTAGTCTGAAGGATACTCTGAACTCTCCCCAGCAAAGCCTAAAATCAAGCCTTGGAAGGATCGGATTCCGACTAACCTGCGAATCAGAATAAAACCACAAAGGATTTAAAGAAAGATAAAATTGACAACCAACAATTAATTTTTCTTTTTGGTAACTGTCATCCAACAAAAAAGCACCAGGCAAGCAAATAGCAGGAACATATGGACCATAACCAATATAAGAATCATTGAATATGAACATAAAAGAGCGTACAGATGCAGCAAACAAAGACATTAAAATAGCATGAATCTATTGTATACAGATACATGCTATATATTCAAGTAGGTAGATGAAAGCATAAGCATACAGAGAAAAGGGCGAGGTTTAAGAAAGACATGAAACTTAAAAGTAACTTTTTGGATTAGATTAAGAAGATTATATAACTCAATTGGAGTGTAGTGTAGGTGGAGGGGGGTGCCACCCAGCTCCCAAAAAATCACACAGAGATTTCTTATTACTGCTTATGAACACCCAGTCTTAGCTTGGCTTATTCCTAGCCAGTTTTTCTTACGTTTTCCTGTCTATCTTTTTGCCTCTGGGCTTTTACCTTTTTCTACATCTGTTTATCTTTTCTTTTTTTCTTACTCTATGTCTGGCTGTGTAGCTGGGTGGCTGGCCCCCAGCATCCTCCTCTCCTCCTTTTCTCATTCCCTCTTTTCCATTCTTCCTCCTGTTTATTCTCTCTGCCTGCCAGCCCCACCTATCCTTTCTCCTGCCTAGCGAGTGGCCATTCAGCTCTTTATTAGACCAATCAGGTGTTTTAGGCAGGCAAAGGAACACAGTTTCACAGAGTTAAACAAATGCAACATAAAAGAATGCAACACATCTTTGTATCATTAAAGTAAATTCTCCACAGTGTAAACAAATGTAACACATTTTAAGCTAATATCCCACAACAGCGGATGGCACTAGAAACCTGTTCAAAATGAACAGTATACAAAGTAACAAGGCACTTCCACTCTAATGATGAGGGAACTAAGGACACATAGAACAACACCAGCCAATCTAAAATACACTTAGCTGGACTCTCAGAAAGAGGGCAAACTATGAAAAAATATTTTAAATTGCTTAACAAAATTAGTAATATTGCTAAGCATATATGTTAAAATTAAAGATGAGAGTAGCAGCATAAAGGGTTTCTAGGAGAGGCCATACGTATTCAGTTGTGAGGCTGTGGAATGGCAGGTGATATGGTATGTAAAGATAGTTAGTGATAAGTTAAAGGGGGTGTTGTGAAGCATGCAGTAACTAAAAGAAATAAGCCAAGAAGTAAAGTTAATAAGCCAGAAGTAGATACAAAAGTGCAAGAAAATGGGGAAGAAAGATAAGAAAGAAATGCAAGAGAGAATAATGGAAGACACACTGTAAGATGATAGAATTGCACCTAGAATATTAATAATATATAATTATAATAATAATGATCATCTTTAAACATAAGAAATAAAGCTATAAAAGAAGAGATAATTCATAGTCCATCAAAGTAAAAAAGATTTATTCTAAAGCTGACACTGTCAAGAAAATGAAAAGTAGGCACTAGACTAAGAGAAAATATATGTAGGACCTATATCTGATAAAGTTACTTGTGTCTGGACTCTACTAGGAATACCACTCAATGAGCCAAACAACCAGACTGCAGAATGGACAAAATTTTGGATACACATTTCACCAAAGAGAGCTGCAAAGCTGGGCAACAAGTGAATGAAAAGAAACCATTACCAGTACCATTGCATATTCATTAGAATGGGTAAATTACAAAAGGCTGATGCAGCATGTTGGAGAGGGTATGTGATAATTAGGACCCTCATAATTTTTGCATACATTTTACATACATGGAAATGCAAAGTGGGATACACAGTTTAGAGAAATTCATCTAATGGAAATGAAAACATGGCCTAGGGAGATATCTCAGAGGTGGAAATGCTTACTGTACAAGTGTGAAGATCTGAGCTAGGATTCCCTAGTACACATGTAAGAGCTGTGTATAGTGGCATGCTTCTGTAATCCCTGTGCTGGACAGTGGGTAGAGGACACAGACAGGCACATCCTAGGGACTTGTTGAACAGCCAGTACAGTTTAAACTGATCTTCAGGCCAGTGAGAGATCCTGTCGATGGAGAAAGACATCCAGCATCAACCTCTGGCCTATACAAATGCATGTACTGGAAAGCACACCTGTGTACACACACATACACTCAACACATGCATGCAATCAATGCACACACACACACACACACACAAACATGCATTTGTGCAAAGAACTGTACCCACGGATAGGAGTAGATTGTTTTTTATAATAGCCAGTACCTATAAAACACCCCAAATGTTCATTAACTGGTGAACAGATAAATATGTTGAAACAATAAAACAGAATACTTTTTATTGTAAGAAGGAATAATTACTTAATACAATAGTATGCATGACTCTCCAACACTTACTGTATTGCAGTAAGTAAAAGAATGTGTACATAAGAGAATGCATTGAACTCTTCCCTCATGTGACATTCCAGCAGAGGTAAAATATCTGTGACAGAAAACACAAGAGGGGTTTTTCAGGTCAGGGAGTGGAGTGGAAAATTGACTTCAGAGGGCTCCAGTATAAAAAGAAAAGAGAAAAGTGATCCCAGGTGCAACATTTGAATATGAGAAGAAAGTTAAGAGTATTGAAATATACAGTTACTATTAATAGGCTTTGCCTATATAAGATAACACTTTGTGAGGCGTGAGAAAGGAGAACATTCGATAATAATGACCAAGAAGCAGGTAAGAATTTTTGCATGTCTGCACCAGGAGGCCCATAGAAGGTTCACAGTAGTACACATAGTAATAGAAGTTGACCTCTACCTTGATGAAGGTCACAATAGCGTGGGTGGTGTGTACAATCACACGATGGTATGTTCGAGCAGGAGTTACAGAGCAGGCAACAAGTTTTAACTCTGTCAAAGTGTTTTTGAGTTAACAACAACAACAACAACCACCACCCAGAGATAGAACACCTCGTTTTTTTTTTTAAAGTAAACATGTAAAATGAAAGTCCATGTGTCTAAACAATATTGTGAAATTAAACTAAAAGTAAAATTTAGGATATGGTTACATTTGACAAGGAAAGAATAGGTGGTATTTCTGTGTGTGTGTAAGTACGTCAGGTACAATTTAATTATTTCCTCAAACCGAGAGGTTGGTACACGGATGATAAACATTTTAGGATCCTTTGTCTTTTACGTGAGTATATTCTACTAGGTCGCTTTCTAGTTCATCATTTTATTAACTACATACCTGGGGCTCTTGTTTGTAGTTGCCAGTGTCTCCCTCCCACCAGCCCATAGGATATTTTGGTGAGGGGGTGATAGAGTACAAGCCACTAGTGGCGGCCGCAGGGTGGGGTGTCAGGGGACAGAGATGTGCAGTTGTGATAACAGGACTCTCCCAGCTTTATTACTATTCCGGAATATGCCCCCTGCCATAGCAAATGATTAGCCTTAATTCTACAGCGGCACAAAAATCTATAAAAGGGGAGCAATTCCATGGAGCTCAGAACATTCCCAGGTCAAAAATCACTACATGGGGTTTCCTGAAATACTCGCATCTGTTCAGTAGAGATTTTGCAAGACCCTAACTGCTTTAGAGCTCTCCAGGGAAACAATCAATACGATAACTAGGGCATATACAGGAACTGTTCCACCACGCTTGCTGGCTGTAGTACGACAACCAGGAAAGTAAAGGATGTAATTTGGTCCAGGTTTGAGCCAGAAGAGCCACGGACAGTAGGTCACTGCTGAGGTTCATAGGCCAGAGAATCAGCATTGACAGGTCCAAGGGCAAGAGAAGAAGATGACTATCCCAGTTCAAAGCCAGTTCCCACCCCTGCCTCTTTGGTCCCCTGCATCCTTGGTGAGGACTACTATCTTTACTCATCCATCAAATCCAATTCTAGCTCCCTCACAAACATACCCAGAAGTAATGTTTTGCTATGGGGTGTCCCTTAGCTGAGTGATGTGGACACATGAAATTAATCACCACACTACCCTCAAGGAGTGGCTAATCCAGCCCACCCCTTTGTCATAGGTCCTTGTCATTTATTTCTCTGGCATATTATTATAATTTCTGTTAAAACGTCAATAAAATTTAAATCACAAAAGGAGTACATGTATTTAACACACTGCTCAGTACTAGGACCAGACTCATTCCCTGAGGGGTAGTACTCTCCTCCACTACATACAGTGGCCATTTTCCTTTACAAGTTCTTTCAAATCCCTTTACTAATCAAAGTACTATGTTTTGCTTTCTTATTACCTTACCCAGTATTTCTAATAGTCTTTTATAGGCACTAAAAGACACATTGAGCTATGCATGTCATTTCTTTTGCGTCAAATTAACTTTTTACTGTGACCAAGCAATCCCCTTAGTATTAAGTTAATTGAGGGCTTTGAGTCATTCTCTGCAATGTCTGTCAGCAGGGGGATTCCAAGTTTGAGGACAGCCTGGGAGGCTGGTTAAGGAGAAGCTGTGGCCAGGGCTGAACCACAAACAGTGGCTGTGGGATCATGGAGGCAGTGGCTGCTGCTCTGAGTTGCTGGCTTCTTCTCATCATGTTGGTGACTGCGGTGATGCTGCTACCTGGGACAAAGGGTTTACCGCTGCTTGTTCAGAGAAGAATTGCCAGAACCATTGTGCTACAAGAAAGCATCGGCAAAGGTCAGTTTGGAAAAGTTTGGTAAGACAAATGGTAGGGAGAAATTGCTGTGAAGATTTTCTCTTCTAGGAAAGAATGTTCATGGTTCCGAGAGACAGACATTTATCAGACTGATTGCTCCAAACCACAGAGGAGGCACAAAAAAAAAAAAAAAAAAAAAAAAAAAAAAAAAGTGCAGGGAACCATGACCACGCCTAACAACGACTTTGAAATCTTCAAAAAGATTACAGGATACCACAATGACGCTTCCACATGGACTATGGTAAAGCCATTAAGCTGATTAACACCACTGAAAGTTTGGCTTTGGACTACAAACTGCTTAGGACAAGTTTGAGATGGCTAGCTGAGATGATCCAGATTCACAGACAACTCGAACAAGGACTTGAGACAAGCCCTGCACTTTCCCATTATGCAAAGACTGGACAAATGATACAGAACTTGACAATTAACCCCAAAATTTTCTTTTCAGAATCCCCTAAAGATAACTCTGCCCCCAGAAAGCAGGAAGTAATTTTAAGAAAATGATGCCCACATTCCCAAGAGGTGGGGTGGGTATTTTTTGGTCGTTCAATGGCTTATGGATAATTGTTATTGTTTATGATGGTTGCTTACAAGTTGTTAATTGTTAATGGTCAAAAAAAAAAAAAAGAAAGCTAAACAAAGGAGATTAGATACAGGATTCTTGTTTAAAAAAAGGAAAAAGAAAAAAGAAGATATAGAAAAGGGTAGATCATTGAATCTACTCTGAAAAAAGGGAAGACAAACTGATAAGATAAAAGGTAGATTTTTGGATCTACTCAGGAAAAAAAAGAATATGGATATGATAAGATAAAAAGAGAGATTATAGAATCTACTTTTAAAGAGGAACTACTTGTTTTAAATAGGATAAGTAATGAAAATTTTTATCTGAATTTGACAAATGATAATGGACTGGACATTGTTAATGTATATAATGGAGTTTTTTGTCTGAATCAGTCAAATGATAATGGACTAGACATTGTTAATGTAATTCTTGACTGTAACCTTCTTTTATTATTTTAGACAAAAAAGGGGAAATGTGTTGTTATATTATGTCCCCCAAAATACTGTGCACGATAACAAACTTATCTGGGGTCAGAGAACAGAACAGCCACTAGACAGACATAGAGGCCAGAAAATGGTGGCATACACACCTTTAATCCTAGCATTCTGGAGACAGAGATCCATTGGGATCCATTGGGATCTCTGTGAATTCAAAGCCACACTGGAAACAGCCAGGCATGGTGACTCACGCCTTTAATCCCAGGAAGTGATGGCAGGAAGCAGAAAGGTATATAAGGTGTGAGGACCAGGAATTAGAGCCTAGTTAAGCTTTTAGGCTTTTGAGCAGCAGTTCAACTGAGATCCATTTGGATGAGGACTCAGAGGCTTCCAGTTTGAGCAAACAGGATCAGCTGAGGAATTGGCGGAGGTGAGGTTAGCTGTGGCTTGTGTTCTGTCTCTCTTATCTTCCAGTATTCACCCCAATACCTGGCTCTGGGTTTGTTTTTTTATTAATAAGACCTTTTAAGATTCGTGCTATATCTGTCCAGTGGATAATTACCCTCGTATGTTTTGTTTTTATTTAATTCTATAACTGAACCCTTTATTACTTATTGCATAATTAAGGCAGAAGATCAATGTTTAGCATACTGTATGTCAGGATTACAGAATCTCTCTCTGTTCTCATTCCTTTGCTGTGTTATACATTTCCTACAATTGCAGTTCATAGTTCTCCAACCCCCTTAGAAATTTCAGGTTTCATATGGTTTGTGGAAGCCAATTTCCTAATACAGAAGCTTCCCAGACACCAGATGGAGTGCCTGCCTTCCCCCTTGTGAAATGGTGGTAGTCTTTAACCTGTCCAGTCTCAAACAATTGTGCCCTGGGAACAGGCGGTCCTTTCCCATTCACAGCCACTTAACTGTCGGAAAGCAGTTAAGAACACAGTGACCACAACTGAGGTGTGCCACATCAGTCCCACAGAGTCACCTTCTACCCGGTTCTTCAGTCCTCTCAACCATATTTGGTGAAATTGTCATGCCCCTAGATCCTCTGTGGGTGAGGGTACATGTCTTCTATTGACCTGGCTGCTTTGGCCATCAGAGATATGCAAACCAAGGGTGCATGGAGGCTGTTCCTTACTCTAGTCAGAGTGGTTACTAGCAAGAAAATAGAGGCTGGAGTGAGAGCAGTAGTTAGTAAATATTGCTCTTCTAGAGGACTTGAGTTCTGTTCCTACCACCCACATTGAGCAATTCACAATCACCTATATACAACTCCAGATCTACAGAGTCTTCCTGTAGGCCTCTATGGGCACCCCCCCACAAGTGGCATACATATAGACTTACCTACACACAAATAGAAATAAAAATAAATCTATCTGGGTCACTTGGTGTAGGTGGCAATTACATGATGCTTTCAAATATCAACAGATGTTAGATGGTGAGTATGGGTGAATGTTGTCTTAGTCAGTGTTCTTTTGCTATGAAGAGACACCTTGACCAAAGTAAATCTTATAAAGGAAAGCATTTAATTGGGGCTTGCTTACAATTTCAGAGGTTTAGTTCGTTATCATCATGGTAGGGAGCATGGCGGCATGCAGGAAGACATGGTGCTGGAGAAGTAGCTGGGAGTCCTACATCTGGATCCACAGGCAGCAGGAAGAGAAAGACTCTGGGCCTGGCTTGGGCTTTTGAAACCTCGAAGCCCATCTCCAGTAACAAACTTCCTCCAACAAGGCCACACCTCCTAATCCTTCTCAAGTAGTGCCACTCTCTGACAACTAAGCATCCAAACATATTAGCCTATGAGGGTCATTCTTATTCAAGCCACCGTAAGTGTATTTGTTGTTTGTATGTTGCTGTGCTAAAATACCTTGACAAAAAAAGCAAGCTAGCAAAGAATGAGTTTATTTTGGTGTTCAGTTCCAGAGGGCTACAGTCTGTTATGGTGGGGAAGGCGTGGCAGCAGCTGGAGCATGAAGTCCCCTTGGCAGTCAGGAATCAGCATGATCACATTCCATATGTGTACAGGAAGGAGAAGAAGGAGGAAGAGGAGGACAGGGAGGAGAAGGGGAGGAGAGGGAAAAGGAGGGAGGGGAGGGGGAGGAGAGGGGAAAGGGGGAGGGGAGGAGGAGGGAAGGGAAGGGGAGGAGGAGGGAAGGGAAGGGGAGGGGGAGGAAATCTCAGATCCTGCCCCTGGTGACACATTTCTTTCAGCAAGGCTCCATGCTCTAAAGGTTCTGTAGGTTTCTCAAACTGTGCCACCAACTAAAGACCAAGAGTTCAATCCCAGGAGACTGTGGGGGACATTTCATACTCAAACCACAACAGTGAGTGACATCCAGCAGAGGGTTTGGTGTCATTGGCATGTGAGCTGAGGAAGAGAGATGGGAACAGGTCTCGGGTTTCCAGTTTGAGCCTTTTGGTAGCCAAAGAAAGCAAAATTCACCACTAGGTCATGTGTGCACCTAGGAAAGGCCAAGCGCAGAGCATGACCACACAACAAATGCCAGCCCCCTTTTTTCCCTGTGGAGGGATAGACTCTACATTTATTATTGTGAGGAAATCAAAGGAAGCCACATGGGGTTCTGAAATGCTCAGGTTTCCTACTGAGGTCTGGATGACAGCGTCCCAGCTGCCTTTGTCAGTGAAGCGGAAGGGCTCTACTGAGCGTCTTTGCAAAGTGCCCTCATAGACTGAGTGACCATTGCACTAGCACAGGGACACTTGTGGGGACATGGGAAGAGACAGCTACAGCACCAGCAGATGCACTTTATTGAAAGTCGGCTTTGGTTTTGCCCAGTGTGGCTCCATTTCCCCCTCGTTGTTCATCGGCTGCTCACTGATCCCATATGGATGCTCCTTAGCTACTGCTGAGGGTTTCCTCTTTTAAACGAGGAGGTGGAGTGCAGTGTCCAGCTCTTTTGGCAGTCCTGCTCACCTGCATACTGCTCTTGGATGGCAGGAAGCCTCCCCTGCACGGCTAAGCCTCGTGCCTTCATGCAGAGTCCAGCTCTCTGGGTCTCCTTTGGCATAGTCCAGACTCTGTTGGCGATGTCAAGTGTTACCTCAAGCCTTATTAGCCCAGTCTCCTGGTAACCAAAGAGGTGCAATTGCCCTTAGGTCTCTTGGACCGTGGCTCCTCCTCAGCTCAGAGCTAACAAGGCTGCCTGCTAGCTGGGGGACAGTTCCTACCTCTGACCAGAGGCTGGGTTACATCAGCAGGTGCCCCTTGGCTCTGCTTCTGTCTTGAAAAGGAGGGACTGACATGCCGGGAGGGAAACTCAATCACAGTGCAGGAGGACAGGAGGCTTTTAGTCAAAGTGCCAGTCACCAGGGGCCGCTGATAGCATCGCCCATGGGGTCTGGTTACTGCTCTCTGCCCCTCTGGAGCGCGAAGGGGGAACCAGCAGTGGAGACCTGAGAAGGGGATGAGGGCAGGCCTGAAGGCACTGGCAGGGATCCCTGGGAGGAAGGGTGGAGGCGGGGGGGGGGGGGGGGGGGGCGAGAGAGGGAGGAACGAAGGGGGCAGCCGGCACAAGTTCTCGCTCTCCAGATGCAAAGCATCCAAGAGTTTTGCCTCAACACATTCCCTCCCCCAGTGGAGATGACGATCCCCCTTCTCATCCTGTGTTCAGGAGAAATGTCTGCCTGAGAAAAGATTACCATAAAATGCATAAAGAACAAGTTCTTTTCTCTTCCAGGACAAAGGACTTCCTTTTTGATGGTGCGTGATATATGGCCCTTTCCATCTCTACCAGTTGCTGCTACCATGTGGCTTGTGGTTGCTAGGAGGAACAGGCTCGAACCTCGGGTCAGAAACTCTCTCCCCAAGCAGCACGCCAGCCTCTGGGAAGAGGGGGCCTAAGGCCATCAAAGTCAATGCTAAGCTGCCGCCATGCATCCAGGGCTAGGGGCATTCTGTCTTACATCCATCTCGTCATCTTATTTGGTTAGTGTTTTGTTTGTTACTGCATTGAGGTCAAGAAGCTAAGCCATGGGTGTGGTTATTTATTATTTTCTCCCCTTTATGCGTGTATGTGAGTGCTTGTGTGTGTGTGTGTGTGTGTGTGTGTGTGTGTGTGTGTGTGATGCATACGTATGCATGTGGGTATGCTTGCTTGTGTATGCATGTGTGGAGGACAGAAGTCAATTTTTCTATGTTCCTTCTACGATTACCTTATTTTTGGAAACAGGGTCTCTCATTAGCTTGGGGCTCACTGACTTGGCTAGACTGCCTCGCCAGTGAGCTGCTGGGATCTGCTTGTCTCTACCCCTCTTTACCACTGGGGTAACGGGTCCCTGTTACCCTATCCCAATTTTTATGTGGGTTCTGGAGATCTGGACTTGAATCCTCACACTTGTGCAGTAAGCGCCTTGGCCGTTGAGCCGTTTCCCCAGTCCCCCATGATCATTTTCTTACAGGAGCGCAGACAACATACCCTCCTCAGTTGCATGAAGGCTCTTCCTGCGTCAACTTAATTCCATGATGATTGCTTCGGCTCCTTAAAGGGAAATGCCTGCTTCTGGCCACAGTGTTATTGTTACCAAGGAAGTAGGTCTATTTCCCCCACCTAGAACATTTTCTTCAGGCTTAGTATTAATTCATTACTTTATAAGCATCATCTTATTGACTGTGCAATAATCCTACTGCATAGTTCTTGTTTTGATTGCCGCCTTTCACGGATAAGGCGGATGAGGTTGAGTGAGGTTAACACAAAGAAAACACAGCCGAGGCGCAAGATGACCTAAGTTCCCCGACTCCCCGCCTCTTGACCCCACTTCAAGGTGTCATTGAGCCGGTGTGTGCTAGCTGTCAGCACTCAAGATAACTCAAGTCCCTCTTTTCTTCACTCTCATCTTATCACAGAGGTTCTGCAGCCCACCAGTGCTGGACCAAACAGTCAGAACAGCAGCTCTGTGTTCCAGGGCGCTTGGGCGGCCAGACTGAGGGAGGCATCAGAAAAAGTATCCTCCAGAAACACAGCGCCGTATCCAGTCACTCTCTGTTGCTATGAGAGTCAAAGCAACTTATGGAAAAACGAGTTTACTTTAGCTTACAGTTCCAGAGGGTTAGGCATCGCGGTGGGGAGGCATGGCAGCATGAAATAGCCTTGTCTGCTGGCGCAGGGAACCGAGGGATCTCCACAGTCACAAAGCAGGAAGGGAAAACTGGAAGTGGGTGGGGCCAGGCAAAGAATGCTCCTCCCTCCTCCCCTCCCCCATGTCACGTGGCATACTTCTTCCAGCAAGGCTCTACCTCATCATGATGATTCCACAACTCCTCTCAAACAGCGACACCAATTGGGCACCAAGTGGCTCTATCTCTGACTCATTGCAAAGATTCTCATGAAATCTGCTACAAGCGGGGGAGGGTGTGCCAACAGCCAGAACTCGGGGCTGTTTGGCTTTGAAGGATCTTCCAGAGGGAAGGCTATCATGGCTGAAGCCATGGTAGAGCGATAGGGGATGGTACCGTGAAGATACTAGGTAGTCCGTGCGCCGCCAGTTCAGGAGGGCGCACTTGCCAGAGTGTTAGAATTTTGACTTTAATAAGTGTTCCGTGGGTGTTAGGCAGGGAAGTGACCAGGTCACAATAGTTACAAGAAATACATTCCCTAGGGCGTGGGGAGGTGGCTCAGTCTGTGAAGTTCTTGCCTCACGAAGAGGAGGATCTGAGTGCTGCCCCCAGAAGCCCCGTCAAAAAGCCAAGTGTGGTGATGTGTGCTGATAATTCCAACTCTGGGGTTTATCAGCAGGAGCAAGAGGGAGGATCCTCGGGTCAGCCAGGCTAACCAAATCAGTGTGTTCTAGGCCAATGGGAGATACTGTAGAAATATAAAGCAGGTATCAGTAGGCTGTGACACCTAAGGTTGACCTCTGGCCTTCATATACACACCCATATACACCTTCTCTCTCTCTCTCTCTCTCTCTCTCTCTCTCTCTCTCTCTCTCTCTCTCTCTCTCTCTCTCTCTCACACACACACACACACACACACACACACACACACACACACACACGCCTCACATTGTCTCCTTCAACAATAGGGCCACTCATTTCCAAACACGCCTGTGAGAAGTTGCTATCTCCAGCCCTGATCTGTTTCCAGGTAAGCTTTTCTCCTTGGCGTTTGAATCAGCCTTTTCCTCCAAGGGTGGTGGAAGTCCCCTGGTAGCGCCTACACCTACAGTGCTCTGCTGTGGAACAAGAGCCATCATAAACCAACAGTAGCCCTCGCCCTGCTTCTGGGTCTGTGGAACATAGATGGCTTTTTAGGACTTGATATAATTTGGAGCTTCTCGACTGTATGCCACATTCCTCTTTTCGCACGGGGCTTTTATTCCCCTGCACAATTGTCCTACTTTGTTTTCTGTCACCGTGATAAACATTATGACCAAAAGCAACTTGGGGGAGAAAGGAGTTTGTTTGGCTTACATGCCCCAGGTCAAGGTTCATCACTGAGGGGAAGTTAGGGCAGGAACTCCAGGCAGGAACCTGGAGGCAGGAATTGAAGCAGATGCCTTGGAAGAATGCTGCTTACTATCTTGCTTCTCAGGCTCACACTTGGCTACCTTCCTTCTACCTTGGAGGACCACTTGCCCAGGGGCAGTACTGCCTACAGTGGGCTGGGCCCTCTCACATCAATCATTAAGAAAATGCCCTACAGATGTGCTTTCAGGACACTGTAATGGAGGCACTTTCTCAAATGGGGTTTCCTCCTCCCAGATGACCCTAGTTTGCTATAAGTTGGCAAAACAAAACCTAACCAGCACACCATTTAAAGTTCAGATACACGAAGAATTTTGGATGACATCTTAATAGCATGTGTGAGACTGGGCCATATAGTTCTTATTGGACAGAGCATTATTCAGGTTGGGAAAGCGTTTGTAGTGGGGGTTATTCTGCATGCTGCAGGATGTTTAATGACATCCCTGGCTCCTACCCAGTAGACACAGGTCTCAACATCTCAGCTATGACAAAGGAAACTGTCTTTGGAGAGCGCCAAAGTCACCTGGAGAGAAAAGGCT